GGTTTAGGGTTTAGGGTTTAGGGTTTTAGGGTTTAGGGTTTAGGGTTTAGGGTGAAGGCTAAGGTTTTGCAGGGTTTCCTTATGGTTTAGGGGTTAGGGTTTAGGGCTTAGGGTTTAGGGCTTAAGGGTCCCCAGGGCGCCCCAAATCCGCAGCTCCGTCCTGGTCTCTGGAGGACTCCAAGGATCTCACCAGCCGGGAGAGTTCCTCTTCAGGCTCGCGGGCTAAAAAGCATAAAAACCATCTCAAAATATGGGACTTTCCGAAAATTAGGGGTAGCTTATTTTGGGTCCTTATAATAAGGAACCTACTATTTAGGGTACTATATTAGGGTCCCCTATTTTCGGAAACCCCCATATCTCAAACTCTAAACGCTGATGGAGCACCTCCAGGGGAGCGCCCGTTCGCGTCTCGCGGACTGACGTCGTCACGGTCCGATACCTGGTCTCTGCTTACTTCTACTTGGAAGCCAGAAGGCTTCTGGGCCTCATACTGGCAGAAAGAACCGACATGAAGTGCCTTTCTACTTCAGCTGCTGGTCTCATGTAAGCAATTGCCAGCCTCCTGTTTCAACGCATGCACTTTCAGTGACACTTTTTTCGCCGACAACATGCTGTCGTCTTCGCTTCTTAGCGAGGGATGTCCGATCTTCATCAGAATCGGGACTCCTGAGCGCATCGAAACCCAGCTGACAAGGCAAAAACAATCAAAGACACCACCGCTGCCACTGAAGCCACAAGCATCACCACCAAACCGACTAGCCGCATCTCACCATCACCGTCACAATCCATTTCATCACCATTATCCTCATGTTCACCGCCATCATCGGCGAATCATCATCACAAGTATCAACTGCAGCGTCACCATCAACACGACAGCAAAACCAGCACAAGAAGCACCTCCATGAGCCTGAATCCCTAAGGAGCCGCAAGAGCCGAATGTCAAGCTACTGTACTTACCGTGCCCTTGAGTCGGCAATCCACTTGTGCCGAGCATCATCATGTGCCCCGCCTGCAGAGAGGAAGAAACAGGGTTTTGGTACACCAGGAGTCTCCGGTTTTACTTCCGGCTTCTGGGGTTCGAAGCCTGCCGAAACCTGATGACATTTAATTTGCTGAACTAGACCGTGGAATGTTTGGAAAGCCGCTCTTCTTCAAGAACGTCTTCGGCAGAATCCGAGTTTATCTGCTGTCTCCATATCACGGTGGTACGAATATACGAGCTTTGAAGCTAGGAAGTCAAAATGGCGCTTGACCATCAAAATGACTCAACGAATTCGCGGTTGCAGGGTTCTAGAGCTCCTCGTTCCATAAGCAGATTCATGCCCGCTGCTAACTGCAGCATTCATGCATCCCTTCACCATGTGAGTCGGTCATGTACATGATCAGTGCAGCTATCACGTAGTAGTCCCAGCTCGAGCTCTCAAGCATCTTCGCACATGGAAGAGCTGTTTTCCACCGAAGATGGCCCCGTTGGCTACTTTGCCGGCGTCCGTCGCTAGCCCTTGCAAATCGTCGGTGACTTCATACCATCTTCATTTAAATTTGTTTTCCTCCATGAAATCTAACAAGAACCCAGACAGCCCTCGCGCCGTTTATCCGATTGTCTCACAGCTTTCTGCTGCTTCTGTTGTCAAACAAAATGCATCGTCTACATCCTGTTTTCGTGGGGGTGGGGTGGCTCTAGCAATCCAAGAGCCCCTCGGTTAGGCCTGGCAGCGCGCCAAGGCAGTTGATGCATGCAGCCGCAAGCTTTTGGATGGGCTGCCGAGGAGTCTCGGTGAAGTGCAGCCAAGGGTTTAGGGCTTAGGGCTACGAGTACGAATTCACTGCGGAAGCTGTGCCAGAGGCAGATGCTTCTACTAAGTCGACACGACCGAGGACTCGACGATCGGAGCACCGCCTCCCTTTGTTGGGCTGCCTGCCAAGCGCAGTAGCGGCGAAGGCTCCGAGAGTGCAAGAGCCCTTCGAAGTCGCAGTCAGTCTGCAGCATGAACCTGCATATACTATATTATACCATATTATACTATACTATACTATACTATACTATATTATACTATATTATACTATGTTATACTAGATAGGGAGTCTGCAGCTGACTGGACTTCAGGGTAGCTTCACATCAAGGAAGAGCCATCGAACCCCTAAGCCCTAGGAGGCCTAAACCCCTAAACCCGAGGAACCCTAAACCCCAAAATTTAGGAACCCTAAACCCTAAACCCCAAAATTTAGGAACCCTAAACCCTAAACCCCAAAATTTAGGAACCCTAAAACCCTAAACCCTAAACCCCTAAACGACGAACCTGTCTGGGCAGGTGGAGGACTCCCAGAGCGTCTATGGCCGCTCGCTGCACGGCGGCCGAAACGTCCTCCAGGCCTTCAAGGACCTTCGGGTTTAGGGTTTAGGGTTTAGGGCTTAGGGTTTAGGGTTTAGGGTTGAGGGCTTAGGGCTTAGGGCTTAGGGTTTAGGGTTTAGGGCTACGCGCCTGAACTTGACTGCAGTAGCACCACTTTACACCAGTAAGCGCTGTGAGAGCATGAGTCTGGCACGAAGTTACCCCAAGTTGGGCAAGGGCTCCGCTAATTGTAATGTCAATATCACACGCCAGATGCAAACCGCACAGCTTCTGCGTTCCGGACAGTCTCGAAGATGCGACACTGCAGACGCGACCTGCTCAACTCAGGACGTCTGCAAGCGGGGAGTGGACGGAAGCATCATACCGTGGAACGTCACGCACCCGACTTGCCTAACTACTGACTCTGCAACTTAGGGCATCGCGGGTTCGGTTTTGTCGGGAGAGCTGCGAGCCTCCGTCCCCCACGTGTCTGCTCGCAGTTCGCAGCACTTCCCAGGCGCCCCAAAGCGCGCACCTGAAAAAAACGCAGCGAACCCTCGGAGACAGAGGCTTTTTCACGACATCCGCCCACGGCCCACGAGGCTCTTTACTGCATTGCTGACAGGTGGCGGACTCTTCGCGGACATTCCTCCGACGGAGCACAAGATCTAGCATTAGAATGTGCCGAGTGTTAGTGTGTCTGCGGCATTCTGCCCATGCCTCTCATCACTCTCCGCGGTCGCAGCCAAAGCCGCAGCCAAGCACTCGCGGGCTTCCACTGGAGCCTGCGGTCGCAGCACCCATGTCACAACGGTATCAAGTCCACAATGAAGAGCAGCTGCTGACAAGTACAACCGGTTTGGTGCCTTCCCTCCTCGCTCGATGCAGCATCGCAGCCCCGCGGCTGTTGCTTCTTGAGTTGACGGGCACGGAGATCGCAACAGGGTCAGCAAAGAATCCTCAGTCCCGGCATGCCACAAACCAAGGCTGCCTTGAAAAAACGCCCTTCCAGGGCTGCTTCGACAAGCTGAAAGCGATTTGCAACGAACCGGGAGCAGCGCTAAGCAGGCTCTGGCGAGATTGTAGTCTTCATCGTCCAGGCATGAAGCCAGCTGCCCGGCGCAGCACGCACCCTGCACGTTGACAAGTCTCTTTGGAGAGATCTTACCCTCTCACTCGGTTCACACACTTGGTGCTGATGCTAGCTGAAATCCGGATATTATACTATGTTATACTATATTATACTATATTATACTATAATATACTATATTATATTATATTATATTATATTATACTATATTATACTATATATTATGCTATATTGTACTATATTATAGTATATTATGCTATATTATGCTATATTATGCTGTATTATATACTATATTCTACTATATTATACTCTCTTGGAAGTGCCTGGAAGCCCAGGCGGCCAAGCGCCTTGGCGGCCTGGAATCCGTGAACTGCTCAGCCACATGCAACATCTCAGCTCCTACCTCTGCAGTACCCATAGGCTCCTTAGGGTTTTAGGGTTTAGGGTTTAGGGGTTTAGGGTTTAGGGTTTAGGGGTTTAGGGTTTAGGGTTTAGGGACATTGTACCCATAGGCTCCTTAGTAGTTCCTTTTTGGGGGGGTTACCTTATAGGATTCGAAATATGAACCATAAAAAGGAACTACTTAGGAGCCCATGGGTACACAGACAGTCCCTGATGTTCACATAAGACTCGCAGGGCATGTCCCCGAAGTGTCAGCGACAAGACTTCCCAATTCATCAAGTAGCCCCCTCGGCCACATCCGGGACTTCGTCCTCACGGCACAGAGGCTGCACAGTCCGACTGCGAAAGGAGCAGCTCTGTCACTTTGTTCTTGGGATGTGACAATCTGCATGATGCTGGAGTCTTGACAACAGGCCATGGCTGAAGAGCTTCCACAGGGAGGGAATGGCGACTGATTTCGTAGAAAAACACTGGACATTGACAGCCTCATTCAATGAGGCTCCGATTCGTTCGTGCATGGATTGCTTTGTGCTCAGAATGCATCAGACCGTGGACGTTATCATGCCCCCCAACCGCCCATTTTGAGTCAGAATGCATCAGACCAGTATCACGTTGCCATGGATGCTCTGTTTGAGCCCTGGGTGCTTTGTGCTCAGAACGCATTAGACCATGGACGTCATCATGGCTGGCTCTTCTCAGAACGCAATCGACTCCTTAGACCATGCCATTGTCATGGTTGGGCCATGGATGCTCTGTTCTTGCCACCCCAGCATTCCTTCCAAGCTCCCGCGCCAGTTTCCAAACGCCAGTTTCTGATACGCGTTGGTTTCTGATGCGCAGCTTCTGATACATGCTGGATTCTGATGCGCAGATTCTGATGCGCGGCAGCTTCTGATGTGCAGTTTCTGATGCGCCTCTGGTTTCTAATGCAGTTTCTGATTCAAGGCCCAATTACTGATTTTGCGATGGATCAAGTTGAATGCCCAAGCTCAGCTGTTTCTGATGTTGATGCTCGTTTGTTTACCCTTCCGACTTACATGCCTGTTCAACTCCCTGCTCGGATTTCGCCATGAGGGTTGCCCCGGTGAGAGCCATTATGGTGACTCTGCAAACCATCCACGGCTTCACTGCACAATGATACTTTCCTCGAAGTTGCGCATGCCAGCATTCAAATGATTCGTGGTTGCAGTAGCAAACATGAGTAGAAGAAGAAACGATCGACCGTAAGAGCAACAGCAGTGTCAGATGCGTTAATGGATAAACCGGCGCTCGCATCAACGCTGAACAGTGACCGTTCGGGGAGCTGCGGCACGCTCTGTGCTCTGTGGTGTCGTCTTGCTTTGAGAAATGTCTGAGTGCGCCGAGGTTCTTACTGAGACCATGAGTTCGATTGCTGAATACGATAAAAGCAAGAGGTAGCCTGGTTTTCTTTTCAGTCAAGTCGATGTCCATGCAAACTTCCGAAGAAGACAAGACAGAAGACAGGGACATCCAGAGACTGCAGCCACAGTCTCCCCCCCGAAATGAAGCGACTTAGGATCAGAACTTCGCAAGCTGCTACCGATTACATGCAACCAGGCCCGGGTGCCTTCCACGGTTAGTGCAGCGGATCCACGCAGCAACGCCGCAGCCTTCAAAAGCAGCATGCTGATTACAACTACGCGAGACTCGAAATCCCGTACAGTGGTAAATGTCGGCTCAGAACGGGCATGGATTACATGATTACACCAACCCCGGCTTGCCACGCGAGTTTGGGTTGGGAAGGGGGCAGGGGGGGCTGATAACGTCTTGGTTTCGGTGTCTGGAGGGTCGTGCATCGCAGATGAGAACTTTTTGTCAGAACCATGACATGCAAATGTCGTTGCAAACAGCAGTGTCTCGCTTTGCAAAGCGCCATAACTGCGGCCATTTGATTTTAGATTTGGACCGCGATGGTCATTGGCATACTCTTTGTGTATACCGTCCTGCGATCAGCAGCATCATCCTTGTCTATTGCCGCGGCAGGGCGCTGGCAGCAAGTGGCAGCAAGTGTGGTACAAGAAGCAACACCACTAGTCAACACCTCAATGTTCCGAACTGTTTCAAGCTCTCCCTGGCATACCCTGCACACACCCCGGGCGCGACATGCGGACCCCGCATTCACCTCTCTTGCAATCTTTAAGCAACATGCGACGCGGGAAACCTCATTCCAGTGAGGACTCAGATATGAGTTGCACCTATGACTTTGGCAATGAGTGGAATTCATCAAAGGCGTGTAGCCCTTAATTAATGTGGCTGCATGCTGGCTAAGCATGGACGAAGACCAGTGGGGAAACAACAATCAAACTACGCGGAATTGATGGAACCAAGTACCGGCACGCACTAGGTGCAAGTGCCAGTGCTAGTGCTACTACGATCACTCTGCTCCTACTACTCATCCTACGACTGACACTGCACGTGCTGGAACTGATACCAGTGCTAGCACAAGTGCCAGTACTAGTACTGTAGTTACTGGTGCTCGCACTGGAACCAGAGCTATAGTACAAGTACCAATACGAGTGGAAGTGCTTGAAGCTGCAGTAGTGGTAGCAGTACTAGCAGTAATAGCAGAACAGAACTACGACTAGTGCTGCTACTACTACCACCACCACCACCACCACCACCACCACTGCTACTACCATCACCACCACCACGAGTAGTAGTAGTAGTAGTAGTAGTAGTAGTAGGAGTAGGAGTAGGAGTAGGAGTAGGAGTAGGAGTAGGAGTAGGAGTAGGAGTAGGAGTGGGAGTAGCAGTAGGAGTAGTAGCAGCAGA